TTGTTGAATAATATTGTTAGTGTCCGGACATTCCACAACTTACAATGGTCAACCTATGAAGGTTTGTAGGCGTACTGGTGTAAGTCCTGCGATTCTTCAAAGGAATTCCATCAAGACATGAACTGCGAGTTTGTGTGTACTGTTTGTATATATGTGTGGTGTGTCATATCAATTGGTGTTTGTTGGATTCATTGTGTTTACTCGTTGTTTTCGTACCTTGTTTTTACTGCATAATTTTGTTAAAATTTTCGTCGTGATTACTTCTGAAGTTGTGTCCACTCTTCTACATCCATGAATGAATTGATTGATGTTAGAGACAGCAGATGGGGCGTATACCCCGGGGAGGCTAGGCTATTGCTGAGAATGAAATGCACACGGAGATGATTGTTAGCTGCCGTCCGACACGCCGGGGAGAAAGAGTGTAAACGACTGAGGCTCGCATGCGTCACCGCTACTAGAACTGAGGCAGAATGAGTGACAAGCGATTGCAGTGGCAATTGGTAGTGAGTAGATAAGAGGATGTGCGTAGAGTATCATGGGTTGGTGCTATGGTCACGTTGTATTCTGCAAGAGTCATTCTAACAAGTGGCGATTGTGTTGCAAGATGTCAAGAGGAGGTCTCTGTCTGGAGGCCCAGGTCGTCAGCGATGTGTGAGATTGTGCTGTTGGTATGCTTGTGGTGTGTTGGCTTTTCTGTTTGTTTTCCATTTCATCTCTGTCCGTGTGACCCAGGTTCTCGCAATGGCATCCAAGTCAACGTGCATTGGTCGTGAAGGAAAAAAGGGTTGGATCCCTTTTTTGCCGGGGAGTGTCAATGGAGTTCAAGATTGAACTATCAATTCTTGGTTGTTTGCTCAAAATCAACTTCCCCAATTTTCGCGAAGGCATCAATACGACAGTCATCGTCTCATCGGTCGCTGTTCAGAAAGAAGAGTAAAACATCGTCAGAAGTAATATTATGATTTATTATTGTAATATTTGTTCACAGACCTTAGTTCAATTATTATTTTTATATGTTGGTGTAACAATAAAGAATTCCCAAGCGGCCAATCGGTGTTTTGGTTTTTTCGTCCGTTATAACTAAGCGTTTCTGAAATCTTCAAGGAACAGCGTGGGCCCGAGCGTAGCAAGAGCTGGGCATTAACGGTTTATGAGACGTGGCTGGCAGAAGTAATTACCCACAAGCAGTAGAAATCCATTAATTAATGCGTCTACAGCTTATGTATTTTACTCCCAACAATGACATTGCAGATCAAATGAGATAAACATATCACTGAATTCAAAATAACACATCAATGAACTATAATTCAAGGACTCTGCACACAACAAATTATTGTACGAAAATTGACTTCAAGCTTTTTTTCCCAGGCACTTATAACCCATCCACCAAAGACCTGGGTTTTTTGTTAATGTGAAGACAATACTTCTGTATTTCCTGATGTGTTGCACTCACCGACAATCTAGCAGATTTTTCCAACTATGCACAGAAACGATTGTACATAAGTGAAAAGGCTGTTTTATACTATTGGGAATAACATTTATCAAGTGTATGTATAATATCCAGTGTACATGTTAAACATATTTTGCTATCGATTGTAAAATGTGACTGAATAATATGGTTCTATTTCCGTAACAATTTGATGATGCCTGTAAACTGGCGTCCCTCATGTACTGTATCATGAGAATAAATTTATTTATTTATTTTAAAAAAATGTATCAGTTAATCTTAAGAAGCATGTGTTTACTTACTTTCACTGTATTCTCTCATTAATGATGGGCTCAACTAGCTTATTCCAAATGAATTTAAGACTAATTCTGAAAGTGAGTAGAGATCCAGTTTATGTCAAATGAAAACATGTAACTTACATGTATTACACTGCTTACTGAGACATCTGGTACCTGCTTTCCGATCTTCGTGACAATAACACAGTTCATCTAGGTTTACCTACATACACAAAATTATACGTATATGCTGCATCAACCATGCCGTTTTTATCATGATTAGACGAACCACTGTGTATATTATACTTATTTAAGGATCTCTGAAAATAATGGTCAAGCGATAATTGAAGTTATTACCTCTTCAGGACATTGTTTGCATTCTTGACACTCCTGAGAAGTCCTTAGATCATAATTTGGTATGAATTCGTTGAATTCAGCAGATAAATCCACTGATATATCATTTCTTTCCTGAGCTGTAATAATTTGTGTTGTCGGTTATCTCTCCAATTTGAGAAAACGTTCACGGAAATTCAGAACTTAACCAAGCAGCAAAATGATGTTTGAAATTACCTCAACTCGAATGACAAACTGGCCAATCACGAGCGAGCGAATCGCTTGTTTATCTCATTCGCGGTCACTCAAAATTACGGCCGTCTACAGGCTGCCCGAATCTAGCCGTCTGTGATGTGAGCTTATTGGCAGTGAAATAATGCTCCAGTCGTGCGAACCAAAGATGGGGTCTCTGGGCCTAAAAACTGGTACAGTAAGAAAAATAGTACTAGCAGATCCCAGCTCTGAGTTATTAGAGGTATTGGAAGACATGTTACAATTCGAAGAAAAATGGTTCAAGAGTAACAAGATAGCAAAAATTATGCACACCAAGAATATGGCAAAACAGAAAAACATGCTACTTGTATTCGTACTGATTGCTTCCTTGACCTGAAGTGTGAACTTTTGTGTGTGAGATTTCCTTATCGATTGGTAAACTTTGTCTTTGTCAATGTGTATATTGATTGACGATTCACTGGAATACCAAGCTCTCTAGCATTCTTAGTGTTTCCTCTGCCTAATATTTGAACGTTGTCCCAGTCGGATTGATGTCCATGGTTGTCTGCATGTAGTGATATGAGGGAGGGGATATCATATCTTTTGACGGCCATTTCATGTTCACGAGTGCGAAGACGAAGAAGGTGCCCACTTAGGCCAATCTAGGGTTCATCCTGGTCGTCGCCATTTATTTTGTAGATGATGTTGGTTTTATCTTCGTTCGTTGTTGAGTCTTTTGGTTGACATAAAACTGAGTGAAGCGATTTTATTGTTCTGTGTGCGACATCAATTCCTAAAGGTTTGAAGAGTCTTGCGGTGATTCCCAAGATATCCCTTTTGTCTGGTGGGACAATGTACTTTGTGCTTTCCTTGGCAGCCTTTGATTCAGTAGGTTGGCTTGGCGTATATGTCCTCTGATGAAATTCCGTGCATATCCATCCCCTTGGAAGACGTCCATAAGATATGTTTCTTCAATTTTCCTTAAGGTGGGAGTGCTGCAATGAGTCATTGCCCTCTTGAATAGTGTTTTTATACAATTCCTTTTGTGCCTTATTTGATTATTGCTGTTGTAATTCAGTATTCGGTCCGTCTTAGTTGATTATCTATAAATCTGATCTAATTTTTTCACAGTTGTTCGCTTGACTAAGACGTAAAAAATGGGATTTTGTTCTCGGATTGCTTTTCTCTTGTGAATTTGATGTCTTTGAAGACGTTGTTCATCAAGTTGTTAGTTTCATCAAACTCGTTTCTTTTGATTATTACAAATGCGTCATCTACGTAACGTATCCAACTTGATTTTTGGTAGGATTATGCTTTCAACCCCTTCGTCACTGCTTCTGTAATCAAACTGGCATTGGTGATTCCAAAGTTATACCTTTAACTTGTTCATATATTCGGCTGTTGAATCAGAGGTTCGTTGCTAGGCATAGATTTATGCATTCCATCCAACTTGTGTGTTGCATTTTTGATTGTCCTAATGTCTTCTACATATATTTTATTTATTTTAGAGTTTGGATTTAACTTCTTCAGTATCTATTCCCAGCATTACCTTATGCACATGGGAATTACACTTGGCAAACATGATCATGCCTGTACAAGCGGTATGTCAATCATTTAAACGCTTAATTTATGTGAATAAAACGTTACTGAAACTTTATCAGAAACAGACGGCATAAGAAAATCAGTAACTAGCCAAGAGAAAGAGATTACTTCTAACAGAAAGGTAGCAGTACTAATATTGTGACAGAACAAACAACGAGCTAAGTTTGGCGGATGTGGTGAGTGTGTAGCCTTATAAACTCTGAAAAACCCAAGTGCACAAAAAGTATGTGAAGATGATTGAATCAACATAGACGTGTCTCTAATCAAATAAACGTTACTATTTAGAGAAAACATGGATATGAGTGTTTCCAGGAGGAACTTTATCCCTAACTCATGTTCGAACAGGGAAATAGTTTTTAGCATTTGATGCCAGTGCCACTGAATACAACTATTAGTTGCGTGATAGAAAGGACATAAGGGTAACCGCGAGAGATAAACCCCAGATTAGATGTTCCGTTATACTGCAATCAATCAAAGAAGTCAGTCAACTCAATTGAATCTCAGCTGTTTCACTGTCAACAATCAATTTGCTTACCCATGAGTATTGAAAGACATGGTGGTCAAATAATTTTCAAGCGCATCTTTCAGCAGCCATAACTGTTATATTCTCCCTTCGCTAGTTGGGGCATGATCAATAGCAGAATGGGACCAGGTTAGCTGGGCCAGGCAAAAGAATCAGCAGGCTGTGTAGCTAGAGTTCAAGTCTAGCAACACTGGTAGCCACACATCAATCGTGAGTGTTAAGTCTTGTTAAAACTTACTGGAAATTAGTTCCAAATCATTCAAGCAGCCTAGTTAACTGGTTTCCGAGAATATCAGGGGGTACACTTAAATAAAATGACCATTTGAAGCTACCGAGGGCTGAACTTCGGTAGATCAAGGGTGACATATTCACTACCACTAGTCGTTTCGGGTAGTAGTAAGCTAGCTTACATATTTTTATATAATGTACACCGGTAACCACGTAATAACCAACTGGTCCGGATAATTTCCAGGTCAGTCCCTGAGGTTGCTGCTGAACATAAAATAAACATATCATGCGAGGGGCAGAAAAAAACCATTTTGCTCGTAGTTTGATTACACTCAGTCGACAGACCAGGCATGTGGACCTTAGATAAGATCACTGAACTATGGAACAATACATGAGAAATGTCATGCTACTTGTAAGTTGCGACATCTACGGATCAGTATCTGGAGTATGATTTGAGACCACGGGGAGGATAACCCTAACTAATGTCCTCTATCCATTCTTCTTTTGATAATCGCTGTGTGAGGTAGGTGCGACAGTTGACTACTGTGAACGAGATTACCCCAGCTGCTGGGCTGGAGGCTAACGTGACCAGACCGCTATACCATCATTAAGCCGACAAGACTGTGTAGGGATTGGTTTTGGTACATTTGAACATAGTCCGCAATCATCCATGAAGTTGTTGAAAAGGAATTTTACTGTATCAGATAGCAAGAGGCAGTAATATCATCAGAATTCAAGGTGATGTAGATAAATTAATTAAATCGTCTTGCCTCGATAGTTTGGAAAAGCGCGGAAGTGCACTTAGGTCAGGGGTCTTACACGTCGTGCTACCAGGAGAACATAGAAATAACTGACGTTAAGAGACAAGCCATTTAGAAATTACTGCCTGACATGAAGTGAAAAAAACGCATGCAGCTGTAGCTAAGGCTCTAGAATTCTATGGACACACCTAAGGTTTTTAAAACGAATCGTGCACTTTAAAAGTACCCTATGCAACTTATGTCAGGCCTCATCTAGAACAGTGTACACAAGCAGCTAGCCCACGCTTCAGGGAGTCACGTATCTTGAATACATTTCAGAGGGCAAGAAGGGAATTTGTCAGAAGTGTCTCATACTTTTCTTATAGGAAGAAGATGAGGCGCTTATGTCTCTTCCCATTATTACATTGAAGGAGGAGTGGTTTTAGAAGCCGACTTATATTCGGTATATATATATATATATATATATATATATATATATATATATATATATACTAACGTGTTATAACACGTTAGAGGGTGATTTGAGGATTGACCTCCCTAAATTTTTTCCCATCTAGGAAATCTCTGAGAGATCATCACAAAAGTTTGCTCAAACGCTGGAGGAATAAAATACTTGTGTTCCTCGCAATAAAACATTGCATACTGGAAGTTCTGAAGCCTACATAGTGGGGCTTTCGAAAGTGTGCGTTACGTTCCTTGAAGAGTAAGACACGAGAGTCTAGTGTCATTTGAGTCTTATTATAGCCGAAACGTCTTTCATCTTGCACTCATAATTCCTAAATATGTATATGTTAGCGATCGCTGTACCCAATCGATCATAAATGCTTGGTGCTTTAGTGTCAATTAGGAATGATTGTCGCCCATAAGTCTTGGAATTTATGTGACATAAGACATAAGTCATTCGTGAAGTCCAAACCTTATAGCCTTTTTATTGATCCATCGCGTTTCTGTCTTCTCTCCTCACAATTAAGAAGAAACAACTGGTTACTGAACTCTGTTTCATGTAATTTAACTCATTTTTATGAATTGCATTTGTTAGGCACCAGGTTATAAACTGCATTTATTGCTTCATATGTGGTGATACTACCACTAGCAAGACTTGAACCCCGAGAGGGAAACATTGAGTGAACACGATGTACATATTCTTATTTTATTATATTAATTTTGTCTGTCAATTGGCTTTAACCTGAATGCACATAGATGGTACGAATTTCTTGAAATGATTTGAGTGCTCAGTCAGAGTGAATCATTATATAATCACTTATGATAACCCCAGCTTGTCTGAGAAGAAATCGAAACAGGATTTTTCTGCAAACATTTCTCTGGGTAATCTACAACTTTCTCAGCAGAATTAGTCAGACTTTACTAACCACCAAAATATGTGGTTAAAATTGCGTATAAGTTGAAGCAAACTCCTTTAGCTTCTCTTACAGAGAAAGATATATATGGAAAATAACTAGACAGCTTAACAAACATACTACTGAGCATCTTTCTTCATGGTTTGAAAAAAGTCAAGTAAAATTTATAAGAAGTTCTATTTAGTCTCATTTGATTGATGATGACAGTTACTTAGTGAACAGAAGAAATGCCTTCAAAGTTATCTGTGGCCTTCCATCGAACCTTTCGAATGGAATTCAAGCCCGCCTTTTACACATAGCTGAAGCTTTGGGAATTAATTCGACGGAATAATCGTAGTCTTCGCATACAAGGGAACTTTGTTCTACCGTTGTCTCTCCCTTGGCCTGGGTAATTTATAATTATTTAATGAATTGTTTATATATGCACATATTACTACCTTCGTTATATTTATCGCTACATGCTTAAACTCCTTGCGCTCTTTTAAACACTGTTATTATCATTATTTTTTCTGTCATTATAATCATCGTTGTTATTGATGGTCAAAACATTTACCACTTGTCGTTATTATGTTATCCAAAAACTCACGGTCATTGGTTAGATTTTTTTATATATTCAAAGCTACGTAAATTAGCATAAAGCCTGAAGATCTAATTAAAAACCGTATTGTTCGCTAATATATTTTGTTCTAATATTAGCAATGGGAATATTTAAAAAATTTAACATATACAAACCATACAGGACTAAATAATAAGATTTTAGCATGTCTGATCTAAACTCATAAGTGATAATTTGAACACCACCAAGATAACGCTACTGTAATTTTGATTTGCACTTGTCCTAAGAATACTAACAATATATCAGATAAAATAATAGTCGTAATCATGAAAAAACACTGTAAAGAGAAGAGAAAAGGGGAGGAAAATCATGATGGTAAAATAAAAGTATGCTACCGAGGTAGATTTAAGCTAATTATTGCTGTCTCAGCAACTTCATTTTCAAGCATATGCACAGTCGTATTTATATTACGGAAGAAGGCATTAAGTGGCACTGGAAATTGCTCGGTCAGCATACATAGGTTAAGAAAAAAGATAATTTAAATGATGTACTAAGCAGGGGTAGATTGAAGTGCATGGATTACAAAACTTTTAAAGATTTATAATGAATAAGTGAATTTGTATTGATTTTAAAAGTTAAGTATTGTCTGGTACATTGTTTTAATTACTTTTGTTCATATCGTATGTATGTTGACTGAGTAATTTCTAGTGTTACTTAGTGCCTTTTTTGTATTATAAATGTAACTGTACAGCTGGTTGAAAATGAAGTTGGAAAGCAATATTTTTCCTCTGAACAAAGCCGTGTTTTTCCTCATGAATTGGTATAACTCGTAAATTGCATTAGTGCTGTAATGTCATGATTTCGCTTCTTGACTTACTATTCTCCATTTTTCTCTTAATTACAGCCCAACTGACATATTCTACAGTATCGCATATTGTTCTTGAACTTCGAATCATCAGAGTGATAAACTTATCCTGTGCAAAAATGTGGTATATAATCATTGCATTGCTTATCCCATTGCATTTTCACCAATCTTCTGGTTATGTCATCGAAGGAACGGTTGTTGTCCCAGCAGAAGCTCCATCGGATTGGCATATAAATACAAGAATTAATGTCGCCGGGGATCAGTATGTTGGTTTTGTCAGGTCGGACGGGAGTTTCGAAGTGACAAATATTCCTTCTGGTTCATATATCATTGAAGCGATAAATCCAGTCTATTATTTCCAGGTAGGTGTATATCTGTCTCTATATATGAGGCTTCTGATAAAATCATGCTATTCGATTGGTCGATAGGTGATCGTCACTAGCTGTGGAAACCCGGGAGCAGTCATCACCTGGATATACCCCTCCATTGCCAGTGAATAAGTGGTGGTGTGTTTACTTCCTCCGCAAACTAATAACTGCTATCTTGACGTGGTGCTGGTGGTCACCAGGGGCTTGCATATCGCAATAACCCAACGAGCTACCCAGTTCTCTGTTTTTCTTTATGGCTGTAAGTGACACAGGGCTATTAAAAGTGGAAGATATGAAAAGGCTAGCTGTCTTTGATTACAGGTGTGTCTGCATTCTATCCATCGTGTTAGGTGGTGTAATGGAGTGAGTAATAGTTAAATAACTAGACGTCGAATGCTAGATAAGGAGTAGGGAAAGTCAACAACGATAAGGTCGTGAAGCAGATGCATCGATTGAGCAGATGTTTAGGACAACACGTGTTACGCATGCCTGGCCATCGCCTTCCTCGATAAGAAATTTTGGCTGGCATAGAATCAGGTTGGAAAAGAGCTAGTGGTGGTCAAAGAAAAACAAGGCATCATTCCATGAAATCTTTGAGTATGTTTGAGCACTAGCCACAGATAGGGGGATGTAGACTGTTTGGTGGGTTGGGTGGTGTCTTTGGTATATTAAAAACCAGTGGTGAGAGACAATCAGTAATATGTCTCCATTCCACCTTGTTCACAGCGGTATGAATACATCTTGTTTGTTTCATGTTTAACCATTATGCAGGACGATGTTTGGAAATACGAGGATGAACCCGTCTAGTTGTACTCTCAATGTACTGAGCTCTACAGCAGCTGTCAAACCGTGGTAGGTACACACAGAGCAGGAGAAGAAACTAGGTAGTCTCTCCTTATTTCTCAAACGTAAAATCAGAGTGGTTGTGGAAAAGTAGAGCATACATCTGCTACATTGAATGTATTCTTTTAACCTCATTCTTCAGGCTCTGTGTTACTATTTCGTTGATGTTATAAGCAAGACAATTGCAGTTACACAAACAAAAGCATTTTTGAAGCTGTTGCCCTACTAGCCGCTTACTTTAGTACTAAATTCATATTTTCCTCAATGGATTTATCTGGATAACCATATTTTCGGGGTAATTCTCTGATAATCGTAAGCTCCTCATTGAGAGAGCCGTTGGAGGGAATTGTCATCGTAGCCCTATGGATCCAACACTTTACCAAGTTCCATTTATATTTCAAAGGTGCAAAACTCAAGGAAATCAGTGTGCTGACTTTCTGCATATTTGTTGAGCGATATGGTTTCTTGGTTGATTCACATATTATCATTATCACATTATCGGCAGCATTCGACTCTGTCGATCGGGAAGTTCTCTGGAGATGCTTGGCTGTAAAGGGAATTCCAAGAAAATATATTGCACTGATTAAGGCACTCTATTCGTACTCATACAGCCAGGTGAGGGCTTACGGCGAGCTGTCATCTGAACTGATGACGACCAGTGGTGTCCGTCAAGGATGCCCATTATCTCCTTTTCTATTCAACTTCATCATAGATGTGTTAATGGACTTAACCCTAGGTGACTTCAGCGATTCAGGGATTGACTTGCTACCTGGGAATAATCTCGTTGACTTGGAATATGCAGACGATATAGTCCTTCTAGGCGAAGACGCTGACAAAATGCAGAGTCTTCTAAACACCTTGAACAGCAATCTACGAATGTTTGGCATGCGATTCGCACCCGCCAAATGCAAGATGATGTTACAGGACTGGACTACATCGACGCCTAGTTTAAAAATAGGAAGTGAAGTGGTAGAGCACGTTGACCGCTTCACTTATTTGGGAAGTACCATCAGCCCCAACGGGCTGATCTCTGACGAAATCTCAGCACGAATACAAGGGGCTCGTTTCGCATTTGTTAGTTTACGCCGACTCTGGCGTAGACGAGATGTTCGACTATCGACCAAAGGGCGGGTGTACTGCTCATCAGTCCGCTCCGTCCTCCTTTATGGCTGTGAGACCTGGCCACTGAGAGTGGAAGACATGAAAAGACTAGCTGCCTTTGATCATAGGTGCCTGCGTTCTATTTCCTGTGTAAAGTGGCATAATAAGGTGAGCAACATGGAGGTTAGGCGTAGAGTTCTAGGTAAGCAGGGGAAATCAATCGACGAAGTCGTGAAGTTACAAAGACTGAGATGGTTAGGACATGTGTTACGTATGCCAAGCCATCGCCTCCCTCGACGAGCTATGTTAGCGGATATAGGGTCAGGCTGGAAAAAGCTAGCGGCGGTCAAACAAAAACTTGGCATCAGTCAATGATATCCACAACAGTTGGTCTTAGCCACGTAGGAAGGTGTAGACTTCCAGGCTGGGGTCCTCGGGACGGTAAAAATCTATGGTTGGAAACAATTGGTGACATGGCTCAAAATCGTTCTCAGTGGCGCAGATGCATCCACTCCCTGTGACTTGTGATCTTCAATGAAACTGTTTTGTATTTCTTTATTACTCCTTTGTCTCACACCTCTGCTCACTGTCTCTGTTATGCTTTTCTTGTACTTTCTTCTCTTGCTTCGCGTGCTACACGGAATGTGGCGACTTGAATTTCCGCACATTTGTGCAAAGTTCTATGTCGAAAACAGACAGACAGACATATTATCACATTCCAAAATCGTTCTTATGCACAGTTCACCTACGTCTTCTACATATACAGCTGCTGAAGCTATTGCATAAAAAGAAATCAGCTAAATCATACAGGATTTTCTATTAAAAACATGTTTAGACGTCAATATATGTGTATAACTTGGCCAGCACTGTGATAGTGTGTAATTCCATATTAATTTGTTTATTAGAGATATATCACACATCATTATTTACTGGATGACGTTTCAAACACAATTTATTATTGTTCATAATCATATCAGTTATAATCACACAACTCAGAAACTTTCGTTTTATAGTTTTCTTTATTCTTTTCTACTTGTTGTAGGGGTAGTAGAATTTTCCAGATGTCTAGTTTGGACAGGTGTTGAATCATTCCTATTACACGTGTTTACAGTCGATTCCATAAATAAAGCTTCCATTATCAATCCTGCTCCCTTCATCCTGTTATATTAGATTTTCAAACTGTCATCTTATCCTGTCCTATTGTATAGTTGTGTGTAATTGCATGTATTGAGCACTATAGCTGAAATATTCTCCAGATTTCTTGTCTTATTAGGGTCAACTAAGCTAAATTTTGCTGCTCCGCTAGTCTGGCTGACTAACCTCGTTCTACCATTTTGACTTGACAATCATTCCAGAAGAGTATTAGATAAGCTAGCTTGTTTTGTTTAATTGGCTCCACAGGGATGCCTTAACCAACAAATCTTGTTTCTAATTGAGTTTGTGGATGATTTGAATGCCAGCTACTTCTATTCCTGACTGTATTGTTAAGAATTCTCCGTGAGGTTTCCGAGGTTTCTTGTTTGTATGGAAGTACTACTAATGATTTATATTTCCTATTGTTGGTGTTGATCCTAATAAGACAAGAAATCTGGAGAATATTTCAGCTATAGTGCCCAATACATGAAATTACACACAACTATACAATAGGACAGGATAAGATGACAGTTTGAAAATCTAATATAACAGGATGAAGGGAGCAGGATCGATAATGGAAGCTTTATTTATGGAATCGACTGCAAACACGTGTAATAGGAATGATTCAACACCTGTCCAAACTAGACATCTGGAAAATTCTACTACCCCTACAACAAGTAGAAAAGAATAAAGAAAACTATAAAACGAAAGTTTCTGAGTTGTGTGATTATAACTGATATGATTATGAACAATAATAAATTGTGTTTGAAACGTCATCCAGTAAATAATGATGTGTGATATATCTCTAATAAACAAGTTAAAATGGAGTGTTCAGACGTCGTCGTTTTTTTACAACACTGTGGTAAAATTTGCATCAAAAGTTCTTCTTCCCTACCCCACCCCGCTCAAAAAGGTATCTTAGCCTCTTGTCACTTTTTATTTCATTTTGTTTATTACTTTGATTCTCAACTGTTAGGTTGTCTGGGAGATTTGATTCGTTTGAAGTTTGTTCACGAATTGATACCATTTAAAGAACCATTGTAAGCCAAACGATGGGGGCAAATACCCGCCAGCGGTGATATTGCCTGGTGCCAGTCGCTCTAGAATCACGGATTCGTAGGCTGCTAATTGAGTCGGTTCCCAGTGGTTAGATGGCCGCTAACGAGCTTGTCTTGTTATCGGATGATCCTGGGTGTTTCAAACCTTGATGGAAGGGGCGTGCAATTCTGATGAGTTTCAAAGTAGGCTGACAAAACAGCTGCCTACTAAAAGGGATCCCCAATGGACTACCCATAGCAACCCCATCGATATGACAGATGCAGTCAATCACCTTCAGATGTGAACACCTAACATTACTAGTTTTCATTACATGATTTTTAAACTTAGCATTTCCCACTTAACTGGCTAAATCTCAGCACGGATAACAAAATCTCCCGTGATATTTGCCAACTCGCGTTATCTCTCAGATAGACGTGTGAAATCTGACTATCGGTCAGAGAAAGTGTGCACTGCATAACAACAGCACTTTGTTCTTTCCTCCTCTATGACTGTGAGACATGGCCATTAGAAGTGGAAGATATGAAAATGTTAACTGTTTACTTTGATTGAACACCAAGTAATAAGGAAATAGCCTCATGCGTCTAGTCTACTTCATGTTCGTGCAGACTGAATTCTGTTAGTGTATCAGTTTCCAAGGTGACCATCACCATGCTACTGGTTGGCTGGTCATCACGGTGCACTCTGAATTGTTGTTATTATTGGATGGTTAAAAAAACTGGTCACATGAAGCCTTAGCCGAACTGGGTTTCGTGCTCGTTGGCACTCACTCACTCACCAGTCAGTCAAAGTAGGGAGTTTCTGCAGCAACTAGCATGAAGGAACTCATGTCCTCTCTGAGATTCGAACAGTTTTCAGCCATCTAAAGCCAAAATTTTTATTAAAAAATTGTATTATAAGTTGTTTTATTAGATTTTATGGGTTGGTGAGAACCAACTGAATAAAATGGATCCATGGTTTCCTGTGGCCTATTGCCTCCAACTATCATCTGAAAACAACAACGACAACAGCTCAGAATGTGCTCACTCTTTTACCCAGCCGCCTAACTTGATGACTTCACGATTGCAAACTTGACTGTGTTAGAAAATTCAGTCTACACCAAATGAAAGACTCAACGCATGATATATTAGTTTAGTGAATACCTAGTAATAATTTGCTTTGTTCCAAAAACAGTACTTATGATACAATGTGGAATTCTCAGCATTTCATACAGTACCGCATCTCATTCACTCAACAGTAGCAGAGACAAAAGTAAAAAAGCAATATTACAGGATTAATGATACCAGCTATTTCGGCATTAGCGGTGACAATAAAGTCACTTATGTACGAAAACTATAGAATAATGATAATAATGTTAATATCTAAAATTCTAAGTTAATTGAAATAGTGTCACCATACATTACAAGTAGGAGAGAATGAAAGAGCCATTAATTTTCTTAGGTTTCGCGCTTAAAATGATCCCTATTACATAGGACGTTGGACAAATATGGTATCGTTAAGTTTCTATACTTGGTTGTACAAGCATATAATCTTTTATAGGGATTTCTAGTCCTACCTTGATGAGATGCAATGGGAGAGTTGAGAATAGAGAGGGTGTTGAGAGTCAGACAATATGGATTTAGACCATTTATCTTATGAGTTCAGCTGTCTATCGATTGTGATAGTAACGATCTGACTAGGTGGCATTCCACTTGCCCTACTGAAAACCGTCAATACCTTGCACAATCTAACATAGTCCTTTTTGAGTATTCCAGGAAAGACTAAGGGGAAGCAATGAAGTACAATAGGTTAGATGCAAGAGTTAACGAATTGTAAAAGTAGAGTTTGAGTGATACCTACCTGATTATCTTAACCTCTTAATGTAGTAGGTTAGATGGAATATTTTCTTAGAGATCGACAAGATATGGGACAATGAAGAAATATCAGAGTAAAGAGTTATTCCAAAACATTTAATGCTTGACTTAGATTCTCCTTCAGTGCCCTATATCCTACAAACATTTTGTGAACAGGCCAGTTCGTGTAGATCACATTCTTATGCGTTAAGGTGAAGTTAGTGGTTTGACATTTAGAGGTGTTCAAGCTAAGACCATTTAGCTCAGACCACTGGCTGATATCCTAGAAAAAGCTATTCATTTCGGAACAGTTAGATCGAGACGCAACTGGCAGTGAGATATTCACGTCATCAGTGTGTTTAACGAAGTTGTTTTCTTCTTAAAGAGACAAGTCATGTAAAAAGGAAAGAAAAAGAGAAGGAGAGAGGACAACACCTTTAGGGACAACCAGCTTCAGTAAAAAGTATTCAGAGTCAAAAACAGATGCGTAGACAAGGAGGGTACGTCGGATAAATTTGATATAAGATAGCAGCAACATCTAAAACACTCCTGTGCTGTTTATAAGCCAATTAATACCTTTCCAGGAAGGTTCAAGGCTGAGTAAAAGTAATTTTTCCGTTGACTTCAAAAAAGGAGAGATATCTGCATTGGTCTAAATTTTATTATTAATACCACAAAAATATTTAGGTACCGGGATAATTTTAATATCTTTCAGTGCTACAGGTTCAGAATTACTGGATAAGGACATATTGAAAATGTTTATAATAGGATAACATAAAATATCCACATATCTTCTGGGGACAACAGCAGGTACACCATCAGCACCATGGCTTTGGGAAGGTTTTAAAAATTTCAGACACTTGAGGACGTCAACAATGTTTAGACCACCGAAGTCATTAGCCTTATTATTTGTAGCATTATGGATGATAACGTCAGTAGAAGAATACGTGAAGAACTTTTTAAGAGTATTCACATCAAACAAAGGGAACAGTGATACTTTGCTTATCACTACTAGTAAATTTCATTAAAGAGTTTCCACATGTTTGGGGACGTAAAGTCAGTTCTTCTATACGGATCAGAAACTTGGCGGGTGGGTCACGAAGAATATTTCCGAAAGGTTGCAGACCTTTATTAACAACTGTCTTCGCTGGCTCTATACTGAAGATCAGATGGCCGGAAAGAATCACCAACAAGAAACTATGGGAAGGAACAAAACAAGGACCAATCGCCAACCAAGAAATATGCAGGAGAAAGCGGAGATGGATTGGACACTCGCTGAGGAGGCCGGTGGGTGACATCGTGCGCGCGTCAGGCCATTGCTCGAGTGGAACCCGAAAGGGACGCGTCGAGTGGGACGTCAGTGCGAGGGTGACATGGAGGAGATCGTGTGAAGAGGAGTTGAAAGAGTATGGACTAACACGGATGCAGGTGAAAAGTACAGCAGGAGACAGAAGCATATGGAGACGTGCAGCTGAAGCCCTATGTTCCACTAGGAACCCAAGGGAGCAATAATAATAATACACATGTTTGGGGAAGTTTTATATAACAAAAGTCGTTGGTAATAAATAATGTTCAGACTTTGTATTTCAGGTTTGATCAAGATGTTAGTCCTTCTCAGACTAGATTTATCTTTAGACTTGTATAAGCGTTCTCCCTGTAACCTACAGTACCTAATCATCGAAATATCCATTACAGACCCGAAGAGGTGGTTAAATTGCTAGGCTGAATAGCTCAGTGGTAACGTGTCTCTGATTGCAACACTGAGTGACCCGGGTTCGAATCTGAGAAGGGATGTGATTAATTCCTTCAAGGCGGTATCAGATACACCTTGCCATAAATGACTGGTGAGTGCCAACAAGCACGAAACCTAATGTGTATAGGTGGGACTTTCTACCTGCTTACTGCCTCTAGTCATCTGGCAAAAGTGTATTCATGCTACTCTGCGCTAATGTTCCTTCTATATCTTTTGGTTGACATAGAACCACCCTAATTATATGATTCTGTTGGTTAGTGTACGAAATCAATTCTTAAAGGTTTGATTAGTCTTGAGAAATTGTTTATTTATATAGTAAGATAATTTTCTCTGTTTTTTTTTATTGGGGACCTTTGATTTGATTTGTTGGCTTAGAGGCAAATGTCTTTTGACGAAGTTTCGTGAATATCTATTCTTTTGGAAGATGTCGATAAGATATTTTGTTTCTCCAGTTTTCCTCAAGGTAAACAAGAGTGCTGCAATAAGTTCCTGGCTTTCTTGAATACTGTCTGTAATGCAACTCTTTTTGCGTGTGTTATTGGGTTGTCATTGTTGCTGTAATTGATTATGTGATTTTCGTGATGAGTTAATTTTATGTCTACTTGAGAAAGCAGAGTCAATATTCTTATCATTTTCTTTTATTCTTCTTCTTATAGGGTGTCCGTGTTGATATCAGTTCTAAAGGTCGTATTAGAGCACGCCAGTTGAATGCTCCACAACCGAATGCTGTCAAAGAGATCCCCTATCCACTGCATCTTACTAGCTCTGGGAAAGCTATCTATTTTAAGGTAAGTGTACTTATATAGCGTACAATGCCCAAATTCTTGTCAACCTCATTCAACCACAACTGTATGACAACACCTCACGTGTCAGTTGGTTGGTCTATAACTGAAAGCTTAGTGAAGCCTACCTGTGGAATAGAGACAGAAATTAGTAAGAAATATACTATTACCGACGATGATAATTATTTCTGATTGTGGTAGTGTAGTCGGCTAAGGATCTCATGTGGCGAGAAGACAGAAACACTTTCGACTAATAGGAAGACTGTAGAACATCTGTACGTCACGTAGACGATTTTAGTTTAATTGTCGCACAAACTGGAACATCTACTAGACGAAAGCCAACAAGATTGTAGAAAAAGCAGCCAGTCAATCAGTCAGTCAGTTCTTCTTTATGGGTAAGTAACTTGTCCAGAGCATCACTGGAGCATCGCTGGCTCTCTACCGAAGATTATATGGCCAGAAGAAATTAGCAACAAGAAACTCTGGGAACAAACCAACAAAGAATCTATTGCTAAACAAATATTCTAAAGAAAATGGAGACTAATGGATAGGATACTCTGAGAAGACTGTTGATTGACGTCTCATTCCAGGGAATCGCTCGAGGGTGAAGTGGAGGAGGTCGTGTGAGGAGGAGGAGGAGAAGGAGGAGGGAGGAGATAAGAAGTGGTGGATAATCATTGGTTGTGTTCTCTGAGCTGGATAGTTGATTTGCGAAGCTTTCATCACCCTACTAGGGGTGACATCTTCAGCACATACTTCAATTTGAAAATGCAGACAGCAAGGCGAAATGCAGTGTGTACTCCAGATGAGCAGATTCAGAACCAACTAAAGATGACCGCAAAAAACAGAATGAAATAGAAATGTCCCCCCGGTCGAAGCCCTATGCTTCACCAAGGACTCAAAGAAACATTAATAATAACATGAATAATTTTTATCTGCGCAAGCAGTGTTTAACGAATAGGTGTATTATTTTTCAGCGAATTCACTTTCCACTCTTCAACTGCACAATCAGTTGCATTTAGGTAATACAGTTTGCTTTGGTTTTACAACACAGAAAAGGATAGTAACATAAAATGATGAATTATTTGTCATACTTATAGTTTCAACATAACATAACATAACATAAGATAAGCTTTATTCCAAATCAGTACTTGTGATACAGAATGGAATTCTCAGCATTTTACTACAATATTGCATCCAACGACTGGATCGTTGGAAAGAGCATTATGAGGAGCAGTTTAATTTGCCCACAGCCACGCTCAACCTTCCGAGCATCCAACACCTCCCTGAATGGGATATAGACACAGGTCCTCCATCCCTAACTGAGGTTACTAAAGCTGTCACCAATCTGAAACTAGGCAAAGCAGCGGGACCTGATGGAATGACACCAGAGGTATTTAAGTACGGTGGAGACAGCTTACTGTCCGGATTAACTGAGGTACTAGGCAGCGTCTGGGAATCAGAAGAAGTCCCATCGGGTTGGTGTAAGTCACTGATTATCCCCATATACAAGAAGGGAGACAAGTCTTCCTGTGATAATCACAGAGGGATTAGCTTGACTAATATAGTATCTAAAGTCTTAGGCTCAATAATCATGCGTAGACTGAGTGGTGCTCGGGAAGCACAAACACGAGAGAGCCAGGCAGGCTTTAGACCAGGAAGAGGGTGTATTGATCATATCTTCACCCTCCGACAGATTCTAGAACATAGGCATTCCTACCGGCGTCCAACAGTCATTATATTTCTTGACCTAAAGGCAGCATTCGACTCTGTCGATCGGGAAGTTCTCTGGAGATGCTTGGCTGTAAAGGGAATTCCAAGAAAATATATTGCACTGATTAAGGCACTCTACTCGTACTCATACAGCCAGGTGAGGGCTTACGGCGAGCTGTCATCTGAACTGATGACGACCAGTGGTGTCCGTCAAGGATGCCCATTATCTCCTTTTCTATTCAACTTCATCATAGATGTGTTAATGGACTTAACCCTAGGTGACTTCAGCGATTCAGGGATTGACTTGCTACCTGGGAATAATCTCGTTGACTTGGAATATGCAGACGATATAGTCCTTCTAGGCGAAGACGCTGACAAAATGCAGAGTCTTCTAAACACCTTGAACAGCAATCTACGAATGTTTGGCATGCGATTCGCTCCCGCCAAATGCAAGATGATGTTACAGGACTGGACTACATCGACGCCTAGTTTAAAAATAGGAAGTGAAGTGGTAGAGCACGTTGACCGCTTCACTTATTTGGGAAGTACCATCAGCCCCAACGGGCTGATCTCTGACGAAATCTCAGCACGAATACAAGGGGCTCGTTTCGCATTTGCCAGTTTACGCCGACTCTGGCGTAGACGAGATGTTCGACTATCGACCAAAGGGCGGGTGTACTGCTCATCAGTCCGCTCCGTCCTCCTTTATGGTTGTGAGACCTGGCCACTGAGAGTGGAAGACATGAAAAGACTAGCTGCCTTTGATCATAGGTGCCTGCGTTCTATTTCCCGTGTAAAGTGGCATAATAAGGTGAGCAACATGGAGGTTAGGCGTAGAGTTCTAGGTAAACAGGAGAAATCAATCGACGAAGTCGTGAAGCTACATCGACTGAGATGGTTAGGACATGTGTTACGTATGCCAAGTCATCGCCTCCCTCGACGAGCTATGTTAGCGGATATAGGGTCAGGCTGGAAAAAAGCTAGCGGCGGTCAAACAAAAACTTGGCTTCACCAGTCAATGAAATCCACAACAGTTGGTCTAAGCCACGTAGGAAGGTGTAGACTTCCAGGCTGGGGTCCTCGGGACAGTAAAAATCTATGGTTGGAAACAATTGGTGACATGGCTCAAAATCGTTCTCAGTGGCGCAGATGCATCCACTCCCTGTGACTTATGATCTTCATTGAAACTGTTTTGTATTTCTTTATTACTCCTTTGTCTCACACCTCTGCTCACTGTTTCTATTATGCTTTTCTTGTACTTTCTTCTCTTGCTTCGCGTGCTACACGGAATGTGGCGACTTGAACTTCCGCACATTTGTGCAAAGTTCTATGTCGAAAACAGACAGACATTAACAATAAACAAAGTTCTACATAGTTTAAAGTTATCTCAACAACATATTAGTATGTCGGTAGCAAAGCCAAAATTAAAGTGTTTGAAGGTGTTAGAAAAGTAGATACTACTAGCATATTTACTGGCGTAAGCGATAGCAAAATGTTCGAGATGTACAGAGCGTGAAAGAACGAACAAGAATGTTTTAAGTAGAGTTTGTAAGGAAGAGAGAAACAAAACAGCACATAACAAAAATAAATAGAGAAGGGAAAAAAAATAGGGAGAAAACGTTGTACCTGTAAATGATGTGAGTTGGAAAGACGAGATCCCCTTGTTCTACTGACTATTTAATAAGTTAAAGGTTTCATGCCTGATGCATTCTTTATCGCACAGAACACGAGCTAGGTAGGGTATGGATAAGCTTTTGTACTTACTAGTGCGGGCATATAGTTTCCTATTTAGGCTTCTTGTTTTCCCTGAAGAGATACATGGGGAGAGTTGTGAATGTAGAGGGTGTTGTGAGTCAGATAAAATGGATTTCGCCCATTTTTCACATGAGTCCATATGCCTGTCCACCAGAATATTAACAAGCTGGCTAAGTGGCAAACTGCTTACCCTGCTGACAACCTTTAACATCCTACGTAATAAGGTATAGTCTTTCTTCAATAGCCCAGGAAAGACTAAGGGGGAGCAATAGAGAATAATAGGCAGAATACGGGAGTTAACAAATTGTAGGAGTAAGGGTTGGGTTACACCAGAATGTCTTAACTTCTTGATGTAGAAGGTAAGACGGTATATTTTCTTGGAAATCGTCAAGATATGAGACGACCAGGAAAGATCAGAAGTTTGATCACGGATTGATATGATATGACAACTGGAGAACTATTGAAAACTACCAACAGGGTATACTGGATCGCTGTTCCGTCAGCCTAGTTTGGGACTGTTATTTAACAGTCCTAACCCAGAACCTTCAAAGTCACTAGGCAAACTGTGATTGACAGTTCTCAACCAGCTACTTGAATGGAAACTAGTCGAATCCTCTGTGCAAACTGATATACTTGAAAATTAATTATGTTGGTCACTAGTTAATGAGTGACTGACTATGCGATGAAGTTGCCTGTGGAGATCTAGTGAGAAGTAGTTGTGACCAGTGTAATTTCGATCAAGTCGGTCAGATGTGGAAACGAATACTCGTCGCCAATGACATTGGTCTTAAAAATTGCGAATTGATAGGAGTTATAGGATTGATGGGTTATTGGACTGCGTTCAAATGTCTGAATAGTCAATGAGCGAGTCTCATATCTTGAATATCCACTGTTAGGTCCCTAGTGGTTTCCATCAATGCTTCTTCAACCGTTATCACTCCATGATATTAAACTTGAAACAAATCAGATACTCCCCAACCCCATAAACTAAATCCTCCAAATATTAGTCCGATGCTCGCTAGTAACCGGTTACAGAACGAGTTTATCTGGAGTGTTCGGGTAAGTATTCGTGACAATTGTGGGGCTCACCAAGTTGTCAGGAGTGAGGACAAGCACTCGCCACTGACTATGGCTGCTGGTGGTTGCGTTATATGGATCGGTGATTGATTGGGTCGGGTCCCAGTGGCTGAGTGGTCGCCCTATAACAGGAAGGGTAGATCATGGGTCCGAATCCCAGTGGGTGCGTACCACCGAAGAGTCAGTGCCAGCCTAGGCTGACAAAACAGCTGTCCAGTACTCCGTGTGTCTCGTTTCTCAGCGGTTTTCTAACTGATGTTAACTCGTGATTTCAAACCTGTAACCAATCAAATCCCCCACCTACAAAGTAACATTTGAGTCGTGAATCTACAAAGTCATTGACAGTCATTGGGTAGGTATAGAGTAGTTTGGCTGGTTACTGGCTAAGGATTTCAGGATGATAAGCAGGAGTTACGGTTTGAGACTAGTAGTGTTCTATGGTGTACACATTTCCGCTCATT